AGGCAGTCGTTCTTGCCCGGACACATCCGGCAGACCTGGTGCCAACACGTAAAACAGCTTGACTTTCTTCTGGTCCGCCTCTGGAATATCCAGGCATTTCCTCGTTTTAGGGAACTCTGGCAAAGTACCGTGTGGCTTTTTTAGTTGGCGACTCCTGATGACTTACGCAAAGCCATCCTTTGATTGCGCCCCGCCAGATAAGATGACGCTCCTTTACCTTTGAATATTTTTATTTTCGCGGCGTGAGAGGTGGGCTGGAAAAACAGCTCATTCACCATCCGTCTGTGACTGGGGAAATGTTGATGCATACTCTCCTTCAATTGATGAACAGATTCATGGCATGCCATATTCTTTCTCATAATTCGAGGTGGCGTCGCCAGGCTGCCTTGCTTGCCCCTCTCCCTACCCAACTATGTGACACTGACAACGACACGTGGCCGGGCGCTCCGTGCAGATAAAAAACGTGAACGTTGTTTTTTTTTACCTGAATATATTTTTGCTTGCTTATTCTTTCTTACCGTAATGAAATTTATGCTTAAGCTTGCTTGGAGTCGGGAACCCCTCCTCCCTTATCTCGACACTTAAGTACACTTGAATGACAAAAAATGCTGTGAAATGATACACTTTCTCACCCAATGACATGCTTGACGGCAATGACTTTTGCTTCAACAATATTACATCCCTTAAACATGTAATAACTGAGTACGCTCCGAACTGCCGTAAAAACAGCCGTTCATACCTGGGTTGGAACGAATATGGAGCGCTTTTCAAGAAAAACACATTATTTCTTATTTCTTCCTGTGTCAGAAAAGCAAATGTTCCAAAATTCTGCACTCATAAAATAGCATTGTGAATGCCCAGAAGGTTCAAATGGGCCACGTAGCTTTTCGTCGCGCCGTCACATCATGGTTTTGTGCGTACGCGTCTGTTGTAATAATAAATGAAAAGTACAAGATGGGATGTTACCTTTAAGACTGACATCTGAGCCTGGAATGTTCGTGGTCTGCCTCAAGCTGGGAAGACCATTGCAACTTCTGTTGTCAAAACCATCTTGTTCGTTCACTTCACTGTCGTTCCTCGCTCATATTGTCTTCATGAGTTAATAAAAACATTGATATTTCGTTTTATTGGTGCGGAAAAAGAAATTTGATTAAAAGGAAAGCAATGGCCAAGTCACAAATCGAGGGAGATATAGCAATGACTAAGTTGGCATCCCATATTGCTTGTTACGTGTATTGGGGTCAGAAGGCAAATGACTTCACGTTTAAATGGACGATGCATTCCATCCCTTTTGGAGGAGGCCGTTTCACAGCCGGAAGATACACGGAAAATCTTCGCGGTGGCCGGCACGGTGGAAGATTCCGTTCAGAAAGAAATTTTCCTGGCTCCTTAAGCATTTAAAGGGAATGTTCCACCTTTATATGGGGTTTTGAACTGAAATAGCCATCTTGAGGACTTTTTGATGCAGTTCATGGCCATGCCCTTTATAAGATCCAAAACCCTCTGGTTCCTGAGTAACACATGCCCGTAAAAGTGGCAAAAGGTTTATTGAAGAACTATTTCAAAGCCACCTCCGCAATGATGATGTCATAGAAACGTTAGCGTCGTTTCTGAATATTGAAAGCGTACCAGTAGTTACAAGTAAGCTTTTCCCATCATGTCTGATGTTTGTCTTAATATCTTCAATTGTGAAACATTCCCTTTAATAAGGCGTGTGAAGTTAAGGGCAATTAAGGACAACTTCAGTGCTTGTTTTTAGCTAAATCTGTACCTGACGCAAAATGTGTTGACTACCTAGGACTCGCGGAGAGCCTTTCGGTGCAAGACACCTGTTTTGGCTTTCTCGCGACAAAAACTTCGCTTCCCTCCAATACTGGGCACTGCGGTGAAATTGCACCGTGGTTAACACTCGTGCAGCTGAAGCTTTTCTGGGGTGGCATGGAAACGAACCGTTCGTGAGTGGTCTCACCACACTAGAGCCTTCTGGCACTCTGTTTGCAGGACTTGCTGCCGTGCCCAAGCCGTTGACAATGGAAGGGCGTGAGTGGATTAGGTACAACTGCCCTGGCTTTTTCAGAGCTAGCAAACTATGATGACCTCTGTAAGTCGGGTAGTTGCAAACCTCAAAGCAATTATGCTGGTGTCTCGACTTCCCTATCTCTGAATGCGGTCAGTCGTCGGTAATGACTCACGTTTTCGGTTCTGAGTTCCGTGAGGATCTCCTGTTCCGTTGTGAAACAGAGCAGGGTACATATCGTGCTTCTTGAGGTTTTTCGAGCAAGCGTGGTGGGGAAGAGTTTTTAACGTCCTGACGCAAGATTTAGGGGCCTGGAGAAGGACCTTAATATTTGCACGAGTGATTGTTTTGAGACAAATGAGCCGTTCGCTTGCACTTCAGTTCAGAGATCACATGGGGGGCAGATGGCCTGAATGATAATCAGAAAACGTTGCTTTGTCTACAGAAAACATTTTTGCCACAGAGTTGCACAACCACATAAGATCTGAGTGGGTCGAGAATGGGCTTGGATGTCTGGCGATCACTGGCCAGTGTCGAGTCAAAGGTTTGGCGATTACTGGTCAGTGTCGAGACAGGGGTCTGGCGATCGCTGGTCTGTGTCGAGACAGAGGTCTGGCGATCGCTGGTCGGTGTCGAGACAGAAGTCTGGCCATTACTGGTCAGTGTCGAGACAGAGGTCTGGCGATCACTGGTCAGTGTCGAGACAGAGGTCTGGCGATTACTGGTCAGTGTCGAGACAGAAGTCTGGCCATCACTGGTCAGTGTCGAGACAGAAGTCTGGCCATCACTGGTCAGTGTCGAGACAGAGGTCTGGCGATTACTGGTCAGTGTCGAGACAGAAGTCTGTCCATCACTGGTCAGTGTCGAGACAGAAGTCTGGCCATCACTGGTCAGTGTCGAGACAGAAGTCTGGCCATCACTGGTCAGTGTCGAGACAGAGGTCTGGCGATCGCTGGTCAGTGTCGAGACAGAAGTCTGGCCATCACTGGTCAGCGTCGAGACAGAAGTCTGGCCATCACTGGTCAGTGTCGAGACAGAAGTCTGGCGATTACTGGTCAGTGTCGAGACAGAAGTCTGGCCATCACTGGTCAGTGTCGAGACAGAGGTCTGGCGATTACTGGTCAGTGTCGAGACAGAAGTCTGGCGATTACTGGTCAGTGTCGAGACAGAGGTCTGGCGATTACTGGTCAGTGTCGAGACAGATGTCTGGCCATCACTGGTCAGTGTCGAGACAGAGGTCTGGCGATTACTGGTCAGTGTCGAGACAGAAGTCTGGCGATTACTGGTAAGCCTCAAGTCAGAGGTTTGGCGGTCAATGGTCAGTGTCGAGACAGAGGTCAGGCGAATACTGGCAAGCCTCGAGTCAGAGGTTTGGCGAGCAATGGTCAGTGTCGAGACAGAGGTCAAGCGATTACTGGTAAGCCTCGAGTCAGAGGTTTGGTGGTCAATGATCAGTGCCGAGACAGAGGTCAAGCGATTACTGGTAAGCCTCGAGTCAGAGGTTTGGCGATCAATGATCAGTGTCGAGTGAGGATCGGTGCCAGAGGGAACAATCACGTAAGATCCTAGTGGGCCAAGAACAGGCTCCGAGGTCTGACTGACGATCACTGCGCAGTGTCGAGCAAGGGTCGGTGCCAGAGCAAGCAGGCACCTGAGTAGTCAAGGTTGAGCGAAGGTTGTTGCCGGGACGCTTGACCGATATGGGTGCCGCGGCGGGACTGTGCGATTCAACGGAATGAGCCTGGGGCGCGCAAGGGTCGTTAGGTAAAGTGACAACCACAACAGGCCTACGGCACTCAATAATCGACATTCAGAGAAGTGTCAACGCCATTGGCCGAATTCGAATCCGTGTCGTCGCTCCTCCCTTGCAATGTTTTTCCATAGTGTGCGAGGGGAGCGGAAGGGAGTAACACAACAAAAGTGGATGAAAACTGTGTGTTTAGGGAAAGCGTAAGCCGTTCGGCAAGGAAACCAACGAAACGAAAGTGAAACTCCTTGGTAAGCAGCCGCAAGTGAAGCGACCCCCCCCCCCTGCAGTGCGCGGCACGCCGTGCAGCGATGTGGGGTGGCGCTCAGTCCCCCTCACACTTGTGTGGCGGTGCCGAGGAGACTCATCAACAGAGAATGCTTATGGTGTCAAATTCTCAAATCCTGGTCAAACATTTCCACCCACATGCCGTCAGCCGCCTTGTTATAAATGTCACGCATTCACAGACACTGCGCTAGCGGATGTGGTGCTTTGACATTACTTGCAAGTGTGGTGCTTTGACATTATTCCATGTCGACCTCTCCACCTTAAACTCCGGGGAGGGGGTGAGGAGTCGAAGCCTAACTGAGATCACGATTGCTCAAGCTGTAGGTTATGTGAACCTAGCAATCAGCGACGCGTGCGCAGGGACTAAATTCTGTACTGGATACGGCGTCTTATCGGCTAGACTGCTTGGCTAATGCAGCTTTCCTCAATAATGTGGCCTCCTATAAAAATTAATGTCATAAAATCCAAGAACGTAGAGTATCTGTACGATTTTGACTGTCTTTTGCAATTTACGTATATAACGAAGGAAAGCCGGAGCAATTTAGTAAATATTTCTGTTTTATGTGTAACATTTCCGTGGCGCTAAATTTGAGAAGTCTACAAAATTCATTGCTTTTTGTCGTTGCTATGGTTACGGGTCTCCACAAACTCGTAGCACAGCATAGCCTCGTGGAATGAAGTTTAGGGCGCTTGAAAGTATTATCTTGAATTGATCCATATCGCTTAAGATTTCCTGTGCAGTATCGTGCGGCATTGCACGTGAAACCAGAATGTGGCGGCCACAGCCTCATCATAATTTCTCAGTGAAACTAGACGAGACGCGCCGTGCGGCATGGTTTGGTGCCTGCCTGCCGTGCCTGTTCGAAATTTTGAGAGCCAGGGCTTCTTTCGAATCATTTTATCGCAGAAGGGTTATGGACGTGACTTGAAGTTTAAACTACTCTATCCCGTGAATGACCAAGATTCAATATCGGGCGCAAGCCCGACATGAACAACGTAAAAGTAAGCAGCTCCAGTGGTGGCGCTTGACGGGGGCTGCCCCCTGGGGCAGCTTGATGCTGAAGCGGTAGATGGATATTCAGGCAGATGCATGGCCATGGCTTATGCATGTTATTCCTTCCATGTACTCTGAACCTAATTAAGCTTCCCCTGATAAGAGGATCGATGAGGTGGGAACTACCGCCGATGCACCTTCCATCCCCCCTCCCCCCCCCCGCTCCCCTCCCTAGGGTTTTCTGAGGATATCTTTCCGGCATGTCGTGTAATCGTGTCCACGCTTCCTGTGCCATTTGGGGCATTCGTTACCGTGTATTTGGACAGAAAATGTGTCGATAGCATCTGGCCTCATATAAGTGACCTTTTTTGAAACACCACACGGCAACCTTCGGCCAGCGTGGGCGGCGAGAGGCAAATGGCAGGCCGCCGATCGTGCCGGCGGGGACGTCGACTGTTGCATTAACGGATGCTTACACGATACGTATATGCTCAAACACATCAAACTACATACCAATATGCTCAGAATGAAACAGCTGACACGTTTTTGTAAAATTCATGGCAGGCTGGGTCGCGTCGACTCCTGCCCCTCCCCCCCCCCCCCCCATCAGTTCGTGTTACGAAGAACAGGGAATCAGGGTGATAACTGAGCTATCCGTTGGCGTTCAGTCGTGCGCTTGGCGTACCCTGCTCACTCGCATACATGCCAAAAGAATATGGATAAGCGCCACGCCCAAGTGCGAGTGGTAATGTCAAATAAGTATGCTTAAAACGTGAACCGCTAGCCAAGATGCTGTCGGAATCCCGGTCTTAGCCAATAGTTTTGGCTCCAAAACTTCACATCCCATGCCAGCAGCATATCTGTATTAAACTGTCAACGGGTATTCCAGACTGACGCGATTTAGGTAGGACTGGCAGGCTAACAAAAACTTGGCTCATGAATCTCAAACTAGGGAAAACTTAGTTGGACGTACAAAACTTCGCGAGATAGTTTATGCCCAAACTGAAGGCTTTCAGAAGCTTGGGCACTTGTCTACTAAGTACACATGTTGAACTGCACCAAAACGGTCCGCTCTGAATGACATTGGTACCAACCTATAATGCCTCTGGCACTTTCTTATTCCCACTTTATCTTTTCAGGTTTTGAAATGCGTAAGCCCAATGTTGCTAGGCCACCATTTGTTTAGCGAGACCGTGAGAGTCCTGAATATCGATGTGCAGCTTGATGTGAAACTGCTGCTAGTTTGACAGGTATCCCCAGGGGCCGATCCAGAGGGGGGCACGGGCGCATGACCCTCCTTGGGCGCCGAGGGGGCCTATAGGCTCAGAGGGGACCCGTAGCCGGCCGAATAGACGCATTTTTTTTACAAAGAACGCAACATCATCATCAACAACACAACGTTCAACGCAAAGAAGAACATTGAACGCCTGAGCTTCTAAGCCACCAATAGCAGTTGCAAACGTAGCCGAAGAGCCCGCGAGCATACGAAAATGATTATTTACTGATTGAGAGGGTGGTGATTGGGAGGTCTTGGGACTGCTTACGCTGTCAAGAGGCACTACACTGTTTCTGAGAGCTCTATATGTCCACTTGCGGGCAAACCTAATCGTTAAGGAGCCTTCTATGTTGCCCTTGATTTCTTTGTATCTGCTCAGACAGCCTTGCCCTGTTGCTGGGGCTCTTTCTGCTAGCGTGCCGGGGCACTCTCTGTCAATCAGGGACCTTCGACGGATTTTTTTTCCATTTCACGCTATAGGCGGGGGCCAAATCTGCTCACATACCGGGGTATTCTCGGTTGCTCACGGACCCCTTCGCGTTAGTTACGGTTAACCTACCGGCGCACTCACGATATGCCCATGGGCCATCTACATTGGTCTAAGGCCCTTCCAATTTTCTGTCACTTGCTTAGGGCCCCTGCTCTTGTATACGGCTATCTGTTAACCTACTTGGGCTCACTTGGTTGTTTGGGGCGCTCCAAATTGGGTCTTGGGTACTTCCTATTTGAATGGACGGCTCTATGCCCTTCTCGGGTCCCCGATCTGTCAACCTGCTTGGGTGCACTGGATGGCTTGGGAGTTGTGCAGTCTGGGTATTAGTATCTGCATGTAAGGCCCTACGTTCTTGTCGGGGTCACCTGATGGCCTGCTTGGGGACACTCGATCTTTCGGGGGCCCTCTACAATAGGTATTGGATACTTCTTATTTGAATGGAGGGCCCTACGCTCTTGCGGGGGCCCTTTCTGATAGCCTGCTCTGGCAAACTCGATCGTTCGGGGGCCATCCACATTGGGTCGCTGGTGCTTCCTGTTTAGTGCAGAGCCCCACGCTCTTGTCAAGGCCGTATCTGTTAACCTGCTCGGGTGTACTTGATCTAGTGGGGCCCTCCACATTGTGGCACGGGCATCTAGTATTTGAATGGAGCGTCCTGCGCTCTTGTCGGGGGCCTTCCATCTTTTACCCCGCTCGGGTACATTCGATCATTCTTGGACCCTCCATATTGTGTACCGTGCACTTCTTATTTGAATGGATGGCCTTTTGTTCTTGTCGTGGCCTCATCTATCGGACTGTTCGAACCAATGACGGATCCAGGGGGGGGGGGGGGCGGAACTGTGCTCCCCCTCGTGCCCCGAGGGGACCATCGGGCTTTGAAAGGGCCCATGACCAGGCGGACGGACGAAGTTTTCAAACACAACAAGACTGGAGGTATCTGAGCCTTCAGACGACCAAGAACGGTCGTCACAAGCGAAAGTGAAGCTCTTGGGCAGACAAACTTATGTTGTTCAGAATGCGCTGTCGCCGGGGCCCTACGTGTCCACTTGCCGAGTCAATCCGATTGCCAAGGAGCCTTCCACATTGCCCCTGATTTCTTGGCATTTCTTAATTTGCCGTACTCTATGGGGCCCAACGACATTGCTTGACGAATATTGCTTGCCCCCCCCCCTCATTGAAAAAATCCTGGTCTTGCCCCTGAGCGTCCCAAAACTTGGTTTAGGCTGGGCAGGGCATGCCATAGCACCCAAGCTCCTGCCGCGCTGCCAGGCCATGATCCTAAAGTGGTAGATCAAAGTAAAATGCTAGCGAACTCTTCCTAAGGATATGCGTGCTACAGGGAAACGTCAGCGCAAAAATGAAACGCTTTTGGAAAGATACTGCAGTGGTTTTAAAATCTGGTTACGTGTTGTCCAAACTGCCTTAAAAGAAACGTCACCACTGGGTAATTAATGCGCACCCATTTGGCCGGCAGTGACTTTTTCGGGCCGACCGAACTAGTTCCTCACTGTTCCAAAGGCGGGATAGAGGAAAGGAAAATATTTGTAAGCTGTTCGGTGCATTAGGATATCTGACACTCCATTCTCCTGTTTTCCGACCAGTAATGCTTATACTACTGTCTTATCTATAGAAAAATATTTGAGCGTACACCCAGTAAGATAGCGGCGGCGGTGGTTTCAATGTTAAGGCAATAGCACTGCCTGGATCACTTTTGGCAATATGTTGATATGGCTTCGCAGCTGAGACTTTCCAGAACATTTTGAGTGTTTAAACGATATCCTTCACTTTTCCGCTCCGTACAATACCATTGAAATAACATCAATGTTCTGAATTCTGTTTTGCATGCAGCCATGTTTCAAATTAGCAGCATTGAGACAACATCCAAGTAGGCTTTCAAACTCAGGTAAAATAGGACAGCTGGGCCTTTCAAGTCGTACTGGTAAGAAATTGGGGGAGTCCATCATTTACCTTTATAATGGATTTAATAAATGAGCTTTCAATATAGACAACGGGAGTTTTCCAAAATTGATCAGCCGACATCTATTTTTGGTTATTTCTTCGCAGTCAACATCCATGAAATCAATACCGATCTCCCCAAAACGTGCAGTTGTGGTTATAGAGTAACAGGTGTGCAGCTGGTTGCAATGATGACAACCTAAACACCTTTGGTGCTTTATGACATTGCATTGCGGCATCAGCAACTTTTAGTTACACAATTAGATGTAAAACTCAGGTGTTAAACTGTAGGCATTTGTGGGGTTTCTTTACCTGACAGATCGGATACATGCTTCAGATTCGGGTAGTGCAGAACAGTGCGTTTCTCGTCAAAAGAAGAGGAAAGTGACACTTCTAGTTACCAAGCAGAGTCAACCAGCTCCAGAAGTCTGACGGGATTTTGAGGGAGGGGGCATTATCGATCTATCCATCACACAACACTGATAGCTGTGGCTGGCAAATTTCCAAGAATATGAAAGGTTATCTCGGTGAAGAACGGCAGGAAAATGCATTGTTAACAGTTTAAAGTCACTAACTGTTACTGCGTCATGACATTTATGGTACAAGTAGTCTTGAAATGTCAGTTGACTCTTGATTGGTAGTAGTTTAATTTTATGATGATCATGAGAACAGCCACTGAGGCGCCACAGTGTATCTGACACTTCCTGGAGAGAAAATGAGACCCCATTCCCCACTCGAGGCTAAATCCCCTGGAACCACACAGAACCAATTCTTTACCAAAGCATTGTGCCTGAAGGACCAGTGTTTGCCTTACACTGTTTACAGCAAACAAATATAGGGAAGTGAAACACTTGAGGCTTCAAAGAGGGTTTGGAAGCACCTTCTTGAAAGTACTGTTCAAGACTCCCAAATCCCACGTTGAAAGTCCGGCTACGCCACTTATCATGATGGAATGTTGCGATGCATCAGTGGTGTGGCGCAATTGGCATGTTCTAACTATGACATATGTTGGTAATTGCACCATTAATGGGTACATAAGGGAATTTGAATGGGTGGTGGAGGGGCACACTTGACGCCGGCCACTTCAAGACGTGCCTAGTTCTAATAATCACCACTGGCAGGGGTGTAGTTCGTATTCAGAGGTGGAGTCCCGCCCTCCCTCTCCTCTCCCCCCCCCCCCCCCAAACCCACACACACACTCACCAACTTTGAGAAGGAAGCGGGACAACACTGAAGAGTTTAATGTGTTTTGGGGCGGGCTGGGTCGGTTCCACTGCAAAACCCCCACCCCCACCCCCACCTCACCTCACTTTGCGCCCCTTCACCATTGGACACTGGCCCAGCACTGACAAGCCTGCATTAATATGCTAATTAGATACAATGTGTGGGCTGTATTAGATTGGGAGAAGGCGTACGTTAACCCAAATCTTGTAAATCTTAATCTTATATATGTAAATCAAATCTTAAACGAGAGTCAGATGATCAATCAACGGAGTAAAATGCAGTTATGACAAGCATAGGCAGTGCACTTTTCCTGAGGCTTCGAGACATCAGAAATTACAGCTTGCCACATTTAGTCGCATTTGTGGGCTAATGAGAACACTACTCCACAAATTTGTTAGTTCGGATTACAGGCGAAGACGGCGTGGGACCGACCACGGGGTAATGTCGGCCACTCCCCTGAGCATAACATTGACAAAGAAAGTTGAGCTGACCTTCTTTTCCGCTGAAGGTTGCGCGGATGACGGACATAGAAGGTGATCTAGATTTCACTGGTTTCTCATGAATAATTTGCCTTTTCTATTTCTGGGTGCGCTGTTGTAAGACCATGACTTCCATGTCCGCGGCTGCCAGGAAATCTGGAAACTATATCCAGTGTGTTGATTGCCATCATTGTAGTGCCTGAAATGAAGAACAAAGAAACATTTCAGCGTCAATATGGTCCTTAATAATTTGAGCCATTGGTAAACGCTATTAGAGAAATCACGGTAACGCCGCCCACTTACGCCACAAATGATCGGGCTTACCCCATGCATTAATCGGGTGGCGGTCAATTTGGCTTCCCCACCCCCACCCCGAAGGTTTTTCAGGAATGATTGCCGAACAACGTGGGATGGCTGCGACAAATTTGCATAGCAGTTAACAATTCAATAGCGAATCTTTTGGTGTCAGAAAATTAGTCGTACCTCGTAAGGTCGCTGACCCGTAACAGATGAAACTCAGGCCTAAACCATCAAGGCAGTCTTATAAGGTCACTGATCTTTAATGGGCTTCAGTAAGCTTTTGCTCAGAACAGTTTTCTAGGCTCACGAGGGTTGCACGAGAAAGTCTGAGAGTATCTTGAATATCAATCTGGAGTTTGGCCTTGTTTGACCCTATTTGATCCAAAGGTCATGACCTAAGGGTCTCACATTTTGAAACAAACGAGTTCACATACAGGCCAACACACCTTGTGCATTTGGTGTCGCTAGCTTGCTTAGCCTTTGAGATCTCAAAGGATCAAATTGCCCCCTCCCTTACCGGGAGAAGGATGTTCGGCCGGCCACCCCGGGCGCGTGTTTACGATGCGCACATAAGCTTGTCGAGCTGTCTCGCCAACTCCCAACATTACTTGAGTGATCTATCTAGCCAGGTCTGCCCCGTTTGCGTGCGCTATCTCTTCGCGTCCAAACATGAACCAAGCAACATAAGCCACTCGGTGTGCGTTGGCCAGCCAGTGGATGTGGGTGTCGAGCTTAGATGTAAGTCTCAATGAAAGTTTGCAGCATGGTGTAACTTGGTATACTGCTCTGATGGCTATGATGTGTGGATTTGCGGTAAACCTTTAATAACATGACATTGCACGACAATATATTTAACTGACGTGAACAGTGGAGTATCCAAGAAGGAACTTTTGTTGTCATACAGTACACAATCCCACCGCGCAGCTCGTACGTGGTACAGACCCCGAAACTGCCCGTGTACGGACCACTGAAGAGAGCACGGACCGGTCAAATCAGCTTCCAGTGTGAAGCCAATCCAGGGCAAACAATTACAGATAAGCATGTGGATGATGTTCTTGCTCGAGCTTGGCGCTCCATCGTGGGAAACCAAGACGCTATCACCATGGGATTCAAATGCTAGTGGCGCTCACTCATTCAGCTCGGGTGGCGTGGGGGGGGGGAGGGGGGAGGGAACCCGAGGAGCTTCGTTCACAACGAGGTTTTGGAACAAAAGGTTCTGAGTGCAGGAGCAGTTTCATGGCCAATAGCGGCCCATGTGGATAGGGCGGTGGCAGCGCCGCTTCAGGCGGACAGACGGTGGCAGCGCCGCTTCAGGTGGACAGACGGTGATAACGCCAGCTCAGGTGGATAGGACGGCTGCCAAGCCAGCTCAGGTGAACAGGGCGGTGACCACGCCAGCTCAGGTGGACAGGAAGGCTGCCAAGCCAGCTCAGGTGGATAGGACGGCTGCCTAGCCAGCTCAGGTGGATAGGACGGCAACCACGCCTGCTCAGGTACACAGAACGGCTGCCAAGCCAGCTCAGGTAGACAGGGCGGTGACCACGCCAGCTCAGGTGGACAGGACGGCTGCCAAACCAGCTCAGGTGGACAGGAAGGCTGCCAAGCCAGCTCAGGTGGACAGGAGGGCTGCCAAGCCAGCTCAGGTGAACAGGACGGTGACCACCCCAGTTCAGGTGGATAGGAGACTGCCAAGCCAGCTCACGTGCGCGGGACGGTGACCTCGCCACATCAGACGGACAGGACGTTGACCACATCAGCTCAGGTGGACAAAACGGTGACCACGCCAGCTCAGGTGGACAGGACGACTGCCAAGCCAGCTCACGTGGATAGGACGGTGACCTTGAGACTTCATTGAGACTTAAATCTAAGCTCGACACCCACATCCACTGGCTGGCCAACGCACACCGAGTGGCTTATGTTGCTTGGTTCATGTTTGGACGTGAAGAGATAGCGCACGCAAACGGGGCAGACCTGGCTAGATAGATCACTCAAGTAATGTTGGGAGTTGGCGAGATTCCCCGCTGGCGGGCCTACCCCGGAAAAAATTAATGCCTTACGAAACATGACAAAACCATACCATATATCAAATAGCAGTTTTCGTGTTTTTTGACAAATACAGCAGGACCAAGGTTTGCACCTACATATAAATATTGAATATACCTTGAGTAGTTTTCAAGACAAATCCGGAAAGGACTATGGAGTGGAGGCCACTCCGGGCTCCCCCAATGCTTACCCAGTGATAATGTGCCAACGAGATGCGATTGGAGTTCTGCAATTATTGCAATCATTTATTGAATAGGCGAATAAGATCCTGTCACCTCATGTGTTATCATAGGGCCTTGCATCAGCCCACAGCATGCCACCGCGTGCTCACCTTTGCCAGTGACGGACCGGTCAGGGGTTGATGTGTCGCGTGAATGAGTCATTAGGTGCATATATGAGCCGTCAGCAAGGGTCATCAGTCAATGTTTTCCTTCCTTTCGGGTAGTGAACAGCGCCGCTCAGGTGAGTAGTGTCAAACCACATGATTTTAGACAATACCTTATTGGGGATCTAAGAAATGAAAATTGCTTTCGGTATCGACTTTTGTAGCATGCAGCGTTTTTCGAGCGCAATGAAAAGCGAGCAAAGCTTACAGGAAAGCTATACATGCTGCTAGGTCGATGGGAAGGATGATATCGGATGCGATGCGGAGGGCAAATGTATCCTTTTTGTATCCATCCTACCAGGGCATAATGGCGTTTATGCACGCTTTCAGCAGGAAAGCAGAGTTTTCCACGGGGAAACACATTTTTCAGCACTGGTGTGACATGAGCCAAAACCTTCAAACTAGCCACTGAAGTCATACTCTCACAGTTGAGAACTAATGCATTACCCTTGATCTTCTACCAAAATGTCAAACGAGATCACGAAATAGCTTTTCTGGCATTGCAAACAAAGTATGTGCTACATTCTCAGACTTATAGCATTTCAAATGGTATGCAGCAATTGTATAGCCATGGCAGTTTTATAGAACATGCAGAGCTTTTATAGAACATGCAGAGCTTTTATAGAACATGCAGAGCTTTTCTAGAACATACAGAACGCTTTGGGTAAACATCACTGACTTAAAGACTGCACGGGCTTTATCTCACAAAGCGCAAATAACATCGGGCAAAAAGCTTCACCATATGCCTCTACAGAACAGCTTACGTCAAGCTGTGCTGTTACATGGGGTGTTATAAACCAGTCGACCTAAGGTCAAAACCTTGAAACTGATCCCATGGCTCAAGTTACACAGCGTGTTGTGTCATATCCCACAGATCCTGCCTTCATTCTATCGTCACTTCTGGAAGTGAACAGGACCGGACATCAACTACAGGTTTATTTCTTCTCCCAATCGACACTACGAGGCCATGACGAGGCGCAATACCGGTGAGAGCTGGCACACGCCGCTCGAGTGGTTTGACGAGCGGACTGACTCACTTACATATCAATGTAGATTTCTGGGTTGTCGATATACATACATAAAGGTACAAAGCCACCAACAGACATGCATTTGTCTCATTAAGATGACCATATTCCTGTTTCCTTGGAGCCGACCCGTTTTATCACGCGGACGTTAAAATCGTTCACATGTTGAATAATCTGTGGGCTACGAAATGCTCCACGGATTGAACTCGGCGGATTAGGACTGAACTGGGTATAATATTACATGATACCACAGGAACTTGAACAGCTTTGATAGTCGGATGGCAATGTTAACAAGCTTGCTGTAATCCTCAACTCTACGTTTTACTTTTCCACAAGACGCAGAAATCCATACAAAAACTATCGTTTCAACTCCAGCAGTTTAAACAAAGCCCGAAATATCGCTGAACTTACTCTTTGTATTTGGCCGCAACACCACATAGGAAAAGGCTGGCTCGATTAATGCATCCCTACTGCGACCTTGTCTTCCATGGACCATGTAAGGCAAGCACTTTGGAGAGTTATTGCCACCTAAACGGAAAGTTGCAAGACACAAAGAGTTTCTCACTAAATAAAGGGAATTTCTCAACGTTTTGCGTTCTCATTCCCAAAAATGATTTTGCGCAGATCCCACCTATTTACAACGACGTGAGTGCGTTTCTTTTACGGTGCAATTGCATCTTGTAACAGAAGCGCTGTTGGAATATGGGTTCACACATATCAGTATGCCATACATTTGTGTCATTGGTAACTGAAAAGAACGGAAGTTTGAGGTTGTCAAATAGAAGGGATGTTGTTTAAAGCCTATCTGAAATTTCAGGATTTTATTGAACTATATCCTGGAAAGGTAATTATAAAGAGGTCTTCTACTCATAATCCATGCGGCGGTGATCGGTAACAAGTGAGGCGATAGGTGATGTTATGAGCAATGCACCGGAGCGGCCAGCGGTGGTGGTGGTGTCAACCTCGGCAAACTTGTATTTGTTGTCATGGCCTGCCAACCATCACAGAGCAATGTTATTCTTGGCGGCTTTATAGCTCATCACCAGTTAACCAACGCTAACTCTGTTGCGGTCCTATCGTACCCCGCTAGAACAACCGAGGCCGCACATCGCTGCCGGCCATCGCCAGAAATGAGACTTGCGTGGGTTTCTGTGAGACCTGAGATGATCCGCCTTCTCAGGCGCCTGCCTGGCGCCACTCTTGCTGCTGGCCACGCTGGGAGGCGCCTCTGTGCCCACTGGCCTGGACATGAAGCTGCTCAGGGAGGTGACGTCGAATCCGATGAACAACCATGTGATCTCGCCGTTCCTGATGTCGCTGCTGATGTCGCAGGTCTGGCTGGGCGCCGAAGGCACAACCAGAGCCGAGGTGAGGCCACAGATGATGGATGTTCAGTGAGGCGTGCTATCTGCACTGGTTCGAGGCACATGTGCCAGCTCACCTTGCAGAGGACATAAAACATGATTTATCGCCCTGTGATCTTTGTTGATGAAACACGGAGGAGAGATATGACATTGTTATGTCTGTCTACTCCACCCAGATGACGCCTGTGCTGGGAATGTCCGGTCCAAACGACAGATCCTTCCTCGACGGCTACCGCTCGGCCTTGGCCGTCTTGTCTGGAACCAGTGACGGCGTCAGGGCGTCAGTGTTCAGCAGGATCTATCGCAAGCGCAGCTTCAGCGTGCGCCGCACCTTCAGCGATTTATTGGCGCGTTACTACGGAGCCGGAGTGGAGGTGCTGCCCAGCAACGCCTTGAAGGCTGCTCAGGTCATCAACAACCAGGTGTCGGTGGCAACGCGCGGACACATCAAGGACCTGGTGTCAAGTGCCGACGTCAGGAATGCTCAACTGGTGCTTTTAAGCGCCGTGTATTTCAAGGGCACTTGGCTTTATGGCTTCAAGAAGCACGGGCAGAAGCCGTTCTTGACGTCGGATGGTGATCGGCGGGTAGACATGATGATGGTGGAGGCAGAGTTTGGTATTGCCGCCCGACCACACTTTGATGTCGTTGCGTTACCGTACCAAAACCAAGATTACAGCTTGCTGGTGCTGCGCCCGCGCAGTCGCTCCATGGCTGGCGTGACCCTGATGCGGAAGTCTCTCGACGGCCTGAACGTGACCCGGCTACACAGTCAGCTACGTCAGCGAACCGTGCGTGTGGTGATGCCGTCGTTCAAGATCGAGGGTCTCTATGTGATGCCCTTCTACATGAGAAGCCTGGGCATCAAGCGGATTTTCCAACGGGGGGCAAACTTCAACGGCATATCGTCGGACAAGACCTTTGTCAGCAACATCATCCATAAGGCGGTGATGGAGGTCAATGAGGAGGGCACGACAGCTACGGCGGTGACAGTGACAATAGTAGCAAATATCGGGATTCAATCCGCGACCTTCGCTGTAGACAGGCCATTTTATGTCATTCTCTACCACAAACGTGAAAAAGTCACCTTGTTTGCTGGACTAGTAGCTAATCCTTGAGAGCACAGCATGATCATTGGGTACGCCTTTGTTCCATGTGCATCCGCCATCGTTGGTTTTAATCACATTTGTTTCAAACCGAAAGGGTCGCCTGACATTTTTGCGATTAGAGTGGATGCACCGAAAATACGTAGACGTATCCGACTGCCAATAAAAGAGGCCTTTTGAAGGGATCATTTGTGTGCGAGAGCGCCGACTTCATGAGAGTTGAACGGGTCGCGTACACGGCCTGTTTTCTGAATTATGCAAACGGTACTTGACTTCATCGTCTCACATGTATCCTGCTCTCGCCAAAAAGTCTCCCTACAGAAGCAATGGATGCGTATCAGCATGGGCCTTTGCAAGACTCTAGAAAGACTCTACCTGCCATTCAAACAGCGATTCTTTGATCACCCTTGGTCTCTTATTATCCACGTTGTAAGGGCTTGTCAGCGTGGTGACACGTTGCACCATGATCCCTTCTTTGGATACTGCGACAACTGCCAAGCTGTGGTTTATTCAGGCAGCAGTACACCGTCGAACTAGACACCCAGTCTGCAACACATGCAAAGGACTCATTAGCTGGCAACTAGCCATACACCGCATGCAGCCCTGGGAGCTGGCATAAGGGCACGCAGCATGCAGCAACGAGAGCGTCCATGACCACATGCACCAAGCAACCACCATGCAAGCCACTACCGCATGCGACATCAACAGTACATGCACAACCGCCAAGGCATGCACATGCAGCACGTCACAATACCAGTACTGTGGATTCCAGACCTGCGACGGAAGCCAACGCACACACCTGAGAAGCATCTGATACAGGGTCAGCAATAATGCAGTATCTCCTTCTCTGAAGCACACTTCATATAATTAGGTTTGCCTGTGGCCGAGACGGGGATCGGTCCGCAAGCTCCATGAAAACGAACATAAACTCCGACATGTGTTTGAAGTCCTTGACGAGAACAACTTCAGTCTACAAACAAGGATTAAATTTCCTACAAGATTTGCGGGACATAATTGTATGGGGGAGGGGGGACAGAGACCGCACGTCGGGGACGCACACCATGGAAGGAATGCGAAGTTTGCCTTATGGTCACAGAGTTTCTCACGGCCTGTGTTGCGGCACAGCCGTGTGGGTGATAAAGGCAGTGAAAGTTCAACTCGTGCCTGGAAACTTTAGTGCCCGATGCATTAGCACAACATTTCAAACAGGTTCAAGCATTATCTGTGAACTAGGTCCGGACGGTGCATAATTACACGGAAACACGGAAGAGAGATGTGACACTGCGTGCCTGTCTGGCTCCACCCAGATGACGCCTGTGCTGGGAATATCCGGTCCAAACAACAGATCCTTCCTCGACGGCTACCGCTCGGCCTTGGCGGTCTTGTCGGAGAACAGCAACGGCGTCACGACGTCAGTGTTCAGCAGGATCTATCGCACGCGCAGGTACAGCGTGCGCCGCACCTTCAGCGACCTGCTGGCGCACTTCTACGGGTCTGGAGTGGAGTTGTTGCCCAGCGGCGCTAGGAAGGCCGCCCAGGTCATCAACAACCAGGTGTCGGCGGCAACGCGCGGACGCATCAGAGGCCTGGAGACAACTGCCGACCAAGCTTCCTTCTCGAAATTTTGCGCTATGTTACTTCGGGCGTATTGGTTACGTGAGAAGCAAAGCCTCACACAAACATCGACGCCCCCAAATATTTGACCGATGGCGAGGTACTCTTTAGCGGTGTGGGCTCGCAACGCAGGCTTCGCCACAGAGGGGAAAGGGGCGCATCCTTGAATGTTACAGGATCACGTCTATGGTTGCATGAAAAAACGGCACGCATAAAACTAAGCCTCTCTCTTGACATTTGACACATGACGGCGTTCTCGGCTGACACCGAGGTGCCCACATTGTTCCAAGCCGTTGCCGTCGTAGCAAGGTCCCGTCCTTGGCACTGTCGTCGCCGGCACGCACGGCCGGCAAACAACGCAACGCCAGCGCACCACCAGATGTAGTCCCGGCCTTCGAGCGGCCTTCTCCGCGGGGAAACTGTGGTCCAACCCGTGCCCGTTCGGTCTGACCGCGTCCCCCCCCCCCCCCCGGACAGCGCCAACAATCACTCCTGGGCTGTTATTCGGAGGCGGTGTGATCACACGCCGCGCGCTCCGAGCTCGCGCGGCCTCACCGCTGCCCCGTGCCGTCCGCGCGCTGCCGACTCGCGCGTCCTCACCGCTGCCCCGTGCCGTCCGGCAGGTACCATGTCTCGGCTCTCGCTCGTCGCGCTCAGCGTCCTGCTGGTTGCCATAGTGACGGCCGACATGCCGTACCAGCTGTCGAGCGGCTTTGAAGACATCGTGCCTAACCTGGTGGAGACGTTCACCTGCGAAGGCCGGCCGTACGGCTACTACGCCGACGTGGCCAACGACTGCCGGCTCTTTCACGTCTGCGTGCCCGTCGTCGATGATGTTGGAGAGGTAAGCGGTGCTGCGGGAGAAGCCCCTGCCCTGGCACAGCTGGTGTGCCCGCCAACGTCTGAAGCCTGAGCTGTGGCTGGCGCTTGGTGGACAGCACGGATCTGCGGTGGCTGGAGTGGATCCCGCTAATCTTGCAGCCGACTTTGGTGACGTACCTAGATCGCAACAATACTGTTCTGGCTCGCAGGCTCAAAGAGATCCGGTCACCGTGAAAAAAGAGTTAAACGAGCTCGTGGTAGACCCGAAATGGTTATGCCTTTGCGGCCCTATGCCTGCATTCATGAATGACTCAGAACAAGGAGCGACATATGGCAGCCGTCCCGAAGCTAATTTTGATGGTAGCCCTGTGTGCTGAAAACCATGTTCCATGCATTTAACATTCATTTCGATGGTCAAGAAACACGCTGAGCTGTGATGATACAGCGGCGCATTTGACGCATTGTGTTAGACCGTTCTCATCACCCGGATCATGCTCAGATTTGGGGAGGCATGAAGGCAGTTTCTTTGCTGGATGCCTCTCCAGACACACACGCACAGCACGCACATTACATACGAACAATTACAGATACGCGCAAGCTCAGATCAGAGGTCCTTTTTGGGAGTCATATTTCAGATCAGAACTCCTTATTTGTCTAGAATGTCCCAGGGCCCCTCACATGTCACCCTCCTCGGACATGACGAAATGCCTAGTGGGACGTCTTGGGGACCCTATCGTGAACACGAGCTATGTTGCGATTCCCCGAGTCCACCGATAGCTTAGTAAAAGACTTTCGGCAGCTGTGTTGTGATACTTTCAAACTAAAGATCATTTTTACAGTTCCGCTGGCCTCCTTTTGTATCCGGTCCCTTGCAAGTCCGAAGAAATCGAACATGCTCAAGTTTCTGCCCAAGGGTTCTTTCAGAGCAAAGAACACTTACATCCTTTTGTAACCCCATGGACACCCAAGAAATCCATTGGTGCCTTCTCACGCACAAAATGTCTAAAAACCTTTCTGCAAGTCAAAGAGCTTCTTATCCGTTTGATGTTTCTAAAATGGCTTTTTGTTTTGTTAGCTAAAATTTGTTTTGTATGCGAGGGATCACCCTACCTTGGCAGGCCCGAGGACCCTCGCTACAAATTCAGCTTTTGCTGTCTATTTAACAGGGGCTACCTGTCTGCAGATATTGGTGAATACATATATATATATATATATATATATATATATATACGGGTTGGGCATGTCACAGCTAGTTGGGCAAGGCTATGGACGAGGACAGAGGGCACCACTCTTTGCGGAAGGTGAGAAAACACCAGCAGTTCACGGGTAGCTATAGCTAAAATGGCAAGGTTTTTCGATTCGTAGACTCTGGCATAAAGGCTAGAGCCAAACGCTATTTCGATACAGGTGATGAGATTCCGGACATTACTGCTCACGCCGAACATATCACGTATCCGAAACAGGTATTCACAGCTCCTATGCGTAATCGCATCTGATGAATGCAGAATCATACCCAGGTAGTTATCCACTAACCAAATTGGCAGGCTTGGTGGTCATCAGCACATTATGCGAGGGAGACGTGACGAAGGTTGGCATGACGTCACACATCACGTGACGCGCATCACCGCCCGGGGCCATGCAAAGACCGCAAACCAGCGCTCATTATCGCCTACTGAGCTATTAGCGTGGAGGTCGGGGCATAATCTGCGCCGGCCGACCGGGTCAGGGGGTCAGGGGGAGGAGCGGCGGGGAGGGTGCGTCGCAGCCATGCATCAGTCCGTTGCCTCACCAATGTCCGTAACAGGTGAGCGCCGACTGGGGGTCCCGCGGTGATGGGGGAGGGGGGGGGGGTCCACGAGGTCCCCGGGGCATGAGGTAACGCATCGCGCCTTGGGGGCCGGTGCTGGTGGTGTGGCCCGTGCAGCGGTTGGGTAACCACCCCTGGGGCGGCAGACGGTCCGAGTATGCACCCAGTTTGAGAAGGGGGGAGGGCGGCACCGGACGGTGGCCGCCGATGAGAGCGCAGCGAGGAGTTGCGGAACCGACTACAATGGGCTGTTTGAACGGCATGATTACCCGAAAATACACCGGTGATGCATCGTGGGTATTACCTCTCGCATGCCGTTGCGATGGGAGCGTGAGCTAGCGAAGCATGTGCGCTTATCATCGCGATTCGTCTGTCGAGAACAATCGAAGCTTAGGATTACGACATAGGTAAATTGGGCGGCATCTGTTTAAGCCAGGCGGCCAAATGTTCCGCGTCTCACGCGGTAGCTGCGTACGGTCAATTTGTACGGGAACGATGCACAATTTGGCTCATTCGCTTTTCGCTTTGCATTCTATAAAGTAAGAGGACACTATCCTCGAGCGATGTAAAACACACGATTAAGCTTCATTATGATTGCTATCCCGCATTCCGAAGAACACCAGACACAGGATGGGCGATTGAATGGTGTTGGCGTAAAGCACGCTATGGTCAGCGGCCGTGTCTCGTTCTCACGCCCTCTCTACCTCTCTGTGCGCCGCAGACCCTGCAGACGGACCAGTACAGCTTCCTGTGCGGCAACGAGACCATCTTCGACCAGTTTACGCTGACCTGCAACTACCCGGTGGACGCGGCGCCCTGCGAGGACGCGGAGAGCATGTACTCACTCGCCAATGATGTGTTCTTCAAGCTAGCGGACGGCAGCAGTGCGTAGAAGGTCGCGCATTGGTGTGTTGGTGTGTTGGTGTGGTGTGTTGGTTGGCGTACGTTTGTGTGCATTTGGTGATCACGACAGCTTCATTTCCGCGTTTACGTATTCTCACGTCACTAGCAGAAGCAAGCATATAGGTGGCAGCACTGCTGGTTGCAGAAAGATGCTGGTGTGGACGTCGGAGCCCCGTCCTGCTTTACACTGCTATGATGCGATGGATTTGTTAAGAACATGGCACGTGTGTGTGTGTGTGTGTGTGTGTGTGTGTGTGTGTGTGTGTGTGTGTGCGTAACATATTGAAGACCTGGCGGTTTTTTAAGGAAGACTGGAAGCGTTACAAGAAGAAAAATATAAAGCGGCTTTCACTACGGAATGTATTTACATATTCATATGCGTTACTCAACATATACGGCCGCATGATTTAGCGCATAAGCTGCACATGCAGCAAATTACATGTGACCATGGGCCGCCCGCAATAGAGTGACATAATGACCTGACTTGAAAGCATCATGCAATGTAACGACTGAATGCGGCACTGCTATGATCCGCTCATTTGCAAGCCAGCTCATGAGATGTGCCGACTCTTTTGCCCGCACATCTGGCCTCGGCGCGCCCACAGGCACATATTACCGCCCCTACTGCGACCACACGTCCCTAGTCGGAGGACAGATGGTGAGCCCCCCGGCGTCGTCGGTGTCACGCTGGGACACTTGTGAAAGCCTCCAGTGCCCACCGCCGTGCCAGCATTTGGAAAGCGTTCCGTGAGGTTGTTCGCGACGCCCGTCACCTCCTACCCAGGCCCATAGATGAACGTGGTTCTGCTGACCAGCTGCTCCGACAGCAGTTTGAACACTTCCTCCACGATCAGTATTTGCCTATTTCGGGCGCGCCTGAGTATTGTGCTGTGGCACGCTCAGCTATACCCGTGGTATGAAGTCACTCACACCAAAGTCAATCTCATGGTGGCACACGTTGATGAAGGTGTACTTTTTGTACTGTGCAGCACCGTCGTCCGTGAATTAAATATTCTTTTAGATTCGGCACTTAGGCGCGAAGGTTTGGAACAAGTCGTTGCAAAGCGCATAAACCATGGCGATGTTATGATTTGTGCCATCAGACATGAGACAGTAGCTCTGATGGCACAGCACACGCTCCTCCACCAGTACACTACGAACGAGTGTACGGTCACTGAGAGGACTTCCAATGGAAGCCTTGGGCCGCGTCTTGCACTACTCATTTTCAGAGAGGTCGCCCTGGGCAACCACTCCGCCCTCATTCGCAGTAGCCTTTGCATGGGCAAAGTACTGACCCTGGCGATCAGCTGCAAAGTGGCGTCAGATCAATTTTGTAATTTGTTGGCTAAGAGATCTAATGCTGTCTTCCTTTGATCCGATGATATCCACTAGTGCATAACATTCATATTACATACATGTACATAAATATATACATATATATATATATATATATATATATATATATATATATATATTCCCACAATCTACCATCAAGCAGCCATGGTTTTCCGTGTCGCATGCAGCGTGAACAAGGTGTTACTTCAGTTAACTCTGTCGCAAGTTCAACTGCCCCAGTTCCGAGCACTGACCCACAGCCATCCTCCACGCACACACAATCCGGCCCACACCTCAACAAATAATGTATTTTCATATCTGGCGAGCATTCAACGTTGGTTCCGTTGTCAACGCTACCAAAGACAAGTGGCAGCAATCTCCACGCAAGCGACCAAATTCCCCTCCCCGGTAATTAACTGCTCCAAAACAATGCAGCTATTACAACACAAGGGGGTCACGGTTTTCAAATCAGGTGGCCGTGAGAAGATGGGAGCAGTTTTGGATATTGCTCGTGCACACGTATACCGAATGCGTACCAAAGCTGCCTGCCAAGACGCATGCTCCGGTCGAAGAGCAGCAAAAGTCGAGCACCCGATAGCAGGGATTTTTATCCCGTTTGTAAGCCTCATATGCGTCACGCAAGTTCCCCAAGGCAAGTCTTTTTCCATCATTTTCTCGGTTCCCACCGAGCTGTCGGACCGTGAGGCAGTCGTTCTTGCCCGGACACATCCGGCAGACCTGGTGCAACACGTAAAACAGCTTGACTTTCTTCTGGTCCGCCTCTGGGATATCCAGGCATGTCCTCGCTTTAGGGAACCCTGGCAAAGTACCGTGTGGCTTTCTAAGTTGGCGACTCCTCCTGATGACTTACGCAAAGCCATCCTTTGATTGCGCCCCTCCAGATAAGATGACGCTCCTTTACCTTTGATTTTTTTATTTTCGCGGCGTGAGAGGTGGGCTGGAAAAACAGCTCATTCACCATCCGTCTGTGACTGGGGAAATGTTGATGCATACTCTCCTTCAATTGATGAACAGATTCATGGTATGCCATATTCTTTCTCATAATTCGAGGTGGCGTCGCCAGGCTGCCTTGCTTGCCCCTCTCCCTACCCAACTATGTGACACTGACAACGACACGTGGCCGGGCGCTCCGTGCAGATAAAAAACGTGAACGTTGTTATTTTGTTTTACCTGAATATGTTTTTGCTTGCTTATTCTTTCTTACCGTAATGAAATTTATGCTTAAGTTTAGTTGGAGTCGGGAACCCCTCCTCCCTTGTCTCGACACTTAAGTACACTTGAATGACAAAAAATGCTGTGAAATGATACACTTTCTCACCCAATGACATGCTTGACGGCAATGACTTTTGCTTCAACAATATTACACCCCTTAAACATGTAATAACTGAGTACGCTCCAAACTGCCGTAAAAACAGCCGCTCATACCTGGGTTGGAACGAATATGGAGCGTTTTTCAAGAAAAACACATTATTTCTCATTTCTTCCTGTGTCAGAAAAGCAAATGTTCCAAAATTCTGCACCCATAAAATAGCATTGTGAATGCCCAGAAGGTTAAAATGGGCCACGTAACTTTTCGTCGCGCCGTTACATCATGGTTTTGTGCGTACGCGTCTGTTGTAATAATAAATGAAAAGTACAAGATGGGATGTTACCTTTAAGACTGACATCTGAGCCTGGAATGTTCGTGATCTGCCTCAAGCTGGGAAGACCATTGCAACTTCTGTTGTCAAAGCCATCATGTTTGTTCGCTTCACTGTCGTTCCTCGCTCATATTGTCTTCATGTGTTAATAAAAGACATTGATATTTCGTTTTATTGGTGCGGAAAAAGAAATTTGATTAAAAGGAAAGCAGTGGTCATGTCACAAATCAAGGGAGATATAGCAATGACTAAGTTGGCATCTCATATTGCTTGTCAGGTGTATTGGGGTCAGAAGGCAAATGACTTCACGTTTAAATGGACGAAGCATTCCATCCCTTTTGGAGGAGGCCGTTTCACAGCCGGGAGATACACGGAAAATCTTCGCGGTGGCCGGCACGGTGGAAGATTCCGTTCAGGAATAAATTTCCCTAACTCCTTAAGCATTTAAAGGGAATGTTCCACCTTTATATGGGGTTTTGAACTGAAATAGCCATCTTGAGGACTTTTTGATTCAGTTCATGGCCATGCCCTTTAAAAGATCCAAAACCCTCTGGTTCCTGAGTAACACATGCCGCAAAAGTGGCAAAAGGTTTATTGAAGAACTATTTCAAAGCCACGTCCGCAATGATGATGTCATAGAAACGTTAGCGTCGTTTCTGAATATTGAAAGCGTACCAGTACTTACAAGTAAGCTTTTCCCATCATGTCTGATGTTTGTCTTAATATCTTCAATTGTGAACATTCCCTTTAATGAGGCGTGTGAAGTTAAGGACAATTAAGAACAACTTCAGTGCCTGTTTTTAGCTAAATCTGTACCTAACGCAAAATGTTTTGACTGCCTAGGACTCGCGGAGAGCCTTTTGGTGCAAGACACCTGTTTTGGCTTTCTCGCGACAAAAACTTCGCTTCCCTTCAGCACTGGGCACTGCGGTGAAATTGCACCGTGGTTAACACTCGTGCAGCTGAAGCTTTTCTGGGGTGGCATGGAAACGAACCGTTCGTGAGCGGTCTCACCACACTAGAGCCTTCTGGCACTCTGTTTGCAGGACTTGCTGCCGTGCCCAAGCCGTTGACAATGGAAGGGCGTGAGTGGATTAGGTACAACTGCCCTGGCTTTTTCAGGGCTAGCAAACTATGATGACCTCTGTAAGTCGGGTAGCTGCAAACCTCAAAGCAATTATGCTGGTGTCTCGACTTCCCTATCTCTGAATGCGGTCAGTCGTCGGTAATGACTCACGTTTTCGGTTCTGAGTTCCGTTAGGATCTCCTGTTCCGTTGTGAAACAGAGCAGGGTACATATCGTGCTTCTTGAGGTTTTTCGAGCAAGCGTGGTGGGGAAGAGTTTTTAACGTCCTTACGCAAGATTTAGGGGCCTGGAGAAGGACCTTAATATTTGCACGAGTGATTGTTTTGAGACAAATGAGCCGTTCGCTTGCATTTCAGTTCAGAGATCACATGGGGGACAGATGGCCTGAATGATAGTCAGAAAACGTTGCTTTGTCTACAAAAACATTTTTGTCACAGAGTTGCACAACCACATAAGATCTGAGTGGGTCGAGAATGGGCTTAGATGTCTGGCAATCACTGGCCAGTGTCAAGTCAAAGGTTTGGCGATTACTGGTCAGTGTCGAGACACGGGTCTGGCGATCGCTGGTCGGTGTCGAGACAGAGGTGTGGCGATCGCTGGTCAGTGTCGAGACAGAAGTCTGGCGATTACTGGTCAGTGTCGAGACAGAGGTTTGGCGATCACTGGTCAGTGTCGAGACAGAGGTCTGGTGATCGCTGGTCAGTGTCGAGACAGAAGTCTGGCGATTACTGGTCAGGGTCGAGACAGAGGTCTGGCGATTACTGGTCAGTGTCGAGACAGAAGTCTGGCGATTACTGGTCAGTGTCGAGACAGAGGTCTGGCGACTACTGGTCAGTGTCGAGACAGAGGTCTGGCGACTACTGGTCAGTGTCGAGACAGAAGTCTGGCCATCACTGGTCAGTGTCGAGACAGAGGTCTGGCGATTACTGGTCAGTGTCGAGACAGAGGTCTGGCGATTACTGGTCAGTGTCGAGACAGAAGTCTGGCGGTCACTGGTCAGTGTCGAGACAGAGGTCTGGCGATTACTGGTCAGTGTCGACTCAGAGGTCTGACGATCACTGGTCAGTGTCGAGACAGAGGTCAGGCGATTACTGGCAAGCCTCGTGTCAAAGGTTTGGCGGTCAATGGTCAGTGTCGAG